CCGCGCGGGCCGACGCCGCGGCTCCGGAGCGTCCGCCGCGGGGCCTCCGGGGTCCTGGGATCGAAGGCCTGGGACCCCGGGTGCGCAGCCCGCGCTCCCATTACCAGTCTGAGACCAGCCGGAGCTGCCCCAAACCAGCTAGTCCAGGACCCCTGCGCTGAGGCTCCACCTTGCAAGGACGGAGGAGCCGAGGGCGAAGTTCCCCGTTAGAATCACCGGGCGGTGTGGGGAGCTGGGGCCAGGCCTCAAAAGCGACTTCTAAAGCCGCAGGCTCCGGTGCAGTGTTGGGGGAGCTGTGGTCACCGGCGGCTGTCAGGCTTGCGCTGCTCCCCGGCTGGACCTCGCCGCACGCTTAGGATCCAGTGCTCCCCTGTCAAGTTCCCATCCGCAGGAGCCACGCTCGCTGGCTTTTGGAGTTGGGTGCAGAAGTGGGTTCCTTGCTCTCAGCCGCTTGGAAGGCCCAGGTGATTCCTGTGCACTTACAAGATGGAGCGGTGCTGCCTCAAAAGATGACAGCTGATCGGAAGAACACCGGGAAACGATAGGGGTGACATGTAAGAGAGAGGAGGGAAAAACCGTTCAGGGGAGCACAGAGCCCGTGCCCTCCGTCCGTGTACACCTGTGTGGGTATACTCCCCCTGTTCCAGATGCCAACACCACACACACACACACACACACACACACACACACACACACACACACACGGGTGTGTGTGTCTGTGGCAGAGACAGACAGGCAGGCAGACAGAGAGCACTCCATTTCCCCTCGTGTGTCTAGTTTTCCTTAGAAGGCCGTGTTCTGAAAGATGCCCAGATAAGTCTCACTTCCAAAATGATGTCTTCACTTACGGATTTTTCTTCCTGTGACCTCTTCACTCTTCAGACTCCCCAGATCTCTCCAGCTGTTGCATTTTCATCGTTGGATTTTCACTTTAGGGTCTGAACACAGTGTTTGTTTGTTTCCCTACTGCAGATAGTATTTTTCTGCGAGAATTCACACCTCACTCATTGCTGGCACAATATTATGTTGAGGATCAGTCAGCACTGAAAAGGCCTCTGTAGGTCCTTCTGTAGGTCCTTGGTAGTCCTGGGTAGGTAGACAGAGAGTCAAGGCCAGTGAACTACATTTCCACCCATCGAACCTGAGAAAAGGTATATTATGAAACTTTTGCGTGTATTTGCTTTAAGTCTTCATTGTTGGCTGAAACTGTGGGATAGAAGGAAATGAAATGTTGACATGAAGAGTCTTAAATGCCAGCACATCTCATACAGTGTCAACCTTGACTCAAAAAACCGACCTGCTATGTAAGTCACATGCACTATATCACTAAAGGGCACTAATGAAACTCCTTAGCACACATTCCTGTTGAATTCAAAGTAGTGGACAGGCTACACCATTCTTTTGGAGAAAATGGAATTCACTTACTATTGACCATTTATATAATTACACATCTTATCTCTTAGGGTATTTTCCCAGCAGTTTAAGTGACTTTAGGACATTTCCTCACAGCGGTCATCTCCAGGCTTATTTCTGCAGATAAGAGGGTGATACTGGGTGACCTTCAAGTTTCCTTCTCTATGTAATTACCCTGTGCAGGTAGAAAAAAAAAAAAAACAACGAAGCATTTTAAGTCGGTAAAATAGCCAAGGATTCTAAAATCAGTAAATTATAAAGTTTGATCAATAAGTTTTAAGAATCAATAACCCCTTGGTACAGGTTGGCCATGAACTATACACACTTCAGAGACATAATTACACTTTAGCATTTTCTTTTTTTAGGAAAATGCAATTCAGTTAGTCACTTCAGGGTACTGTGAATGAAAAATTCATGATAGCAGTTTTCATTATATGTGGAAGAAGTGATTAATGAGTTCTTTATAATAAGAAACGTGTTTCATGGAATAAATCATCTTGAATTCCTCTTAAGGTGCAGAGTGGGCTACATGCATTTAGTGATTATAATGTGCTGTGTGAGAATAAAGTTAGATAATAAGAATCTTAATCTTCTGAGCCTAAATGAAGTCTCAAAGTTTAAATGAAGTTTTAAAATGCCCTGTTTTGTTTTTTAGATATCCTTTGTTGTAAAGTAGACCCTATTCTCATGTTTTAATTGGAATATTTTAAATATACAAAAGCATTCTTACATTTTATTCCAGTTGGGAAGGATTCATAAACTTAAAGAATTTGTCATATCTCCTCTCTAGGCAAGATTATGTCAAAATCATAAGCACATGAATAATGGTTTAGAGTTTTTAATTTAAGGATCAGCAAGTCCAATTTTATAACTTTTCACATTTTATTTAAAATAAGTTACAAATGTCTAACCCCAGATTTTATTTGTTTGTTTTTGAATCCCAGGTAATGAAGCCAGAGCTTTGTGCATACTAAGCGGGTGTTATACTATTGAGCTACCCACGCTCTAACTGGTCCTTTCTGATGGCATGTGTGCAGGCTCACACATGTGGTTCATTATAGTGGCTTTAAGACAGCAAGTAGTGGCTATGAACTATAGTCATTTTTAGATTAGTCATTTTGTTGATATGAGAACCTGAAACTTGGTATTAAACAACTACTTTCTATGCTTATACACATGGCTAGTGAGGTCAAAGTATTCATTATTGGTGGCAAAATACATGTAAGATAATTGATCTTTTTAACCATTTTTGATTTTTATAGTAGATAGTGTTAAGTACATTCACACTGTTTTGCAACTGATCTCAAGAATTTCTCATCTTGCAACTTTCAGAATTCTTCTCCCAACCTCTCATTCTACTTTTTGCTTCTATTAATTTGACACGTCTAGATAATCACAAGAATAAAATCATGCAATATTTTATGACTGGTTTATTTTAGCATAATTCCCTAAAGCTTTCTCCATGCTCTAACATGTTTCAGAATTCCCTTCATTTTTAGAGCTGGCCAATATTCTGCTATCATATCATGACATTTTGTTGATTCATCCTTCCATGGAAGCTTGAGTTTCTTCCACATTTCAGTACTTGTCAATACCCTGGTATGAATTTGAGTATAGAAATGTCTCTTCAGGGTTCTGCTTTCAATTGTATTGGATCTCCACTTGGAATTGGAATTGCTGGATCATAGGAAATTCTACTTTTAGATTTTTGAGGAATTGCCATACTGTTTTCTTTATTGTACCGTTTCACATTCTCACCAAAAGGGAGTGAGTGTACAAGGGTTCCAATTTTTCTGTATTCTCACCAAAAGTGAGGTGATATCTCATTGTGGCTTTAATTTTAATCTCCCAAATGATCAAGTTGTTTTGAAACATAACTTTTGAATTAACTTCAGAGTTAATTTCTGAATCGAAGACAATACTTTCCACAATGATGTAAGTACAAGACAGCGACCTTTGTCTCTCTTCACTTGTCATCTCTGAAGACACTACTTAGAAGACTGACTTTGGTTGACACTCATGGCCCTTCCTAAAGAGTGGAGTCAATGGAGGGTTGGTGATATAGCTCACTGTTGGAGAGCTCTCGTCCAGCCAACACGAGGCCCTGAACTAAATCCTAGTGATGAAAAGTAAAATTAACTTCACAGTTGGCCAGATAGGTTTTCCTGATAATATGTAGAGACTAGCTTTAGCTAGTAAGATATTCTTTCTCTCGTCCTCATCAAACTAGAAACAAGTTTTTATGGCAGTTCAGAGTGATACAGTTTTTTATTTATTTTATTTTATTTTACAATACCATTCAGTTCTACATATCAGCCACGAGTTCCCCTATTCTCCCCCCTCCCACTCCCTCCCCTTCCCCCCAGCCCACCCCCCATTCCCACCTCCTCCAGGGCAAATCCTCCCCCGAG